TCAACCACCTGGCCTGCCGATTGAGACTATCGAAGGGGACAAGGCTCTGCCGAGTACACCCTCTCAGATGGAAGACGACGATGAGGACAACTCGACGGAGTCAGACGACGTTGATGCGGATGCTATGCTCATTGATACGATTCGACAGTACTCGGCAACCCCTCCCATTGATAGTTTACCCGACTACGGCTGTCGCGCTTGGCACCGGGACAGGGATTTCTTGGAATCCCTCGATTCAGACCCCATGATCGACAACTTCATCTTGCAGCAACTCGATAAAATATCTTTAGAGAAGATGGCAGGACAGGAACTTGCGCGCAAGGACTACGCTGATAACTACGTCCAATATCTCGACTTTACGGTCTCAACGGATCCGATTGCTGTCAAGAGTCGAGAGACATTCATCAGCTGCTTGCCGACACCCGAAAAGCACGTTCCCATTCCTCCTCCACCTGAACTCAAGCCAGAAGGGAGGGGGGCCGGAAGAAGGTATGCAAGCGAACGTGACCTGGAAAGAGTTCTGCAAGCTTCCATGAGAGAGGACGAGGAACGGAAGGAAAGAGAGCAGCGCGCTATGCAAGAAAAGTATCGCAGCGACAAGGAGGCGGTCATTCCCGAAATGTACTGGACGAAGGAGGATCGGGACGCCGAGTTCTTCAAGGACACCACCGGCTTCACGCCCGTGGAAAAGCTTGTGCCTGCTTGGCAGATCCTGCCGCCAATCAACAACTTCACGCCCGAAGAAGCGGAACTCTTCGAGAAGAGGTATCTCACCAACCCGAAACAGTGGGGTGTGGTCGCCGAGAACATCCCGAAACGCAACTTCGGTACTTGTATCCAGTACTACTACCTGATGAAGAAAGAGCTCAATCTCAAAGAGAAGCTCAAGAAGCAGCCCAAGCGCAGGAAGAAGGGCAGAGGCAAAACACGATCTAGCGCTTTGGTCTCGGAGCTGGGCAATGCCGAGAACGAGGGCGAGGAGAACCAAGAAAATGGTGAAAATGGAGAAAGAAGACGGCCGCGACGCGCTGCTGCTCCTACATGGGGCTTTGAGCAACCTCCTACGGATTCCGACAATGCAACGCCCACCGGCACACCTGGCCGTCGTGGAGCCAAAGGGGACCCCGAAAAGCCAGACGGCAGGAAGAGGGGGAGGAGAGCTGCGAAGGACAAGGAGCCCAAGGCCGCCAAACCACAGCAGACTCTTGCCGCGGCTCCGGCCACTACTACAGCTAAGGGGCGGTCTCGCTCCAATTCGAGGGTCCAGAACCCCGAATTCCAGCCACCACCACCCGTGCCGATGGAGAGTCGTCTTCCATCGCAGTTCGAAATGCCAACGACGGGCGTCCAATCTCCGCTTGTTCCAGCTCAACAGTCACCTCTGGTGGTTCAGGAACGTCCCGTTTCCGCCACCCCTTCCGCGATATCCGAAGTGATGGCGCCTCCATCTCTGCGGCCGGAGCCGCCACCACCTCCTGCGCAGCCCACCATAGCGACGTTCGATATCGCTCAACCACAACCTGAACGCCGTGCTCAAAGTCAGGCTTCGAGTTACTGGAGCGTTTCGGAAGCAAACGACTTCCCAGGCTTGTTAAAGTCGTTTGGTACTGACTGGTCAGCTATTGCGGGACACATGGGCTCAAAGACAGCTGTCATGGTGAAGAATTACTTTGTTAGACAGAGAGACCAGGGCAAGGCAGAGTGGGAGCAATTTGCAGCTGAGGCGGATGGGAAACGAAGCAGAGGAGAGAAGCTACCCGATCCACCTCCACCAACCGTCGGCGGACGCAAGAAGTACGACTCTACGCCTACGGCGTCTAACCGGCCTCTCGCTTCTGCGCCTGCTACTCCCGCGCCGCCTGGAACGAATGAGCTGCCGAGCGAAGCACCTGCAACAAAGGTTGAGACTCCTGTCCAACAACCTGGAAACCCACCGTTTGGTCGCTTTACAATGCCAATTACTTCGGCACCGCCACCTCAACCACAGCAGCAGCCGCAGCAGCAACCTCTGGCGCAGGCAGCTCCCCCCACTCCAACTGCTGCCACCCAGGCTCCTCTTCAGGCTCCTCAGCAAACACCGATCGCAGTCCAACAACAGCATCCAGCGCCTCAGCCTGTGGTCACGCAGTCAGGATCGCCCATTGCCCGTCCGCTGAGAGCCCCACCTCAGCAAGCCTTTGGCTTCCAAGAGCGAGAACGAGAATCGACGCAACCCCCTCCACCAATCAGGATCTCTCAGAAGCCATCTGCAGCTCCAGTCATCGAACCCGTCCAGCAGCGACCTCTTGCTGCGGCGCAACCCATTCAACCTGCACAGCCTGAACCGCAGGTTGACCGACAACAAGTGGAGAGGCAGCAACAGATGGAACGCCAAGCTATCGAACGCCAGCAGATCGAGCGCCAGCAGATCGAGCGCCAAGCTATCGAGCGCCAGCAGATCGAGCGCCAGCAGATCGAGCGCCAGCAGATCGAGCGCCAGCAGATCGAGCGCCAGCAGATTGAGCGGCAGAGACTGGAGCAACAACAGTTAGAGCGGCAACAGATGGAGAGGCAGCAGATTGAGAGACAGCAGATCGAGAGGCAGCAAATCGAACGTCAACAGCTCGAGAGGCAGCAGATTGAGAGGCAACAGATCGAGAGGCAGCAGATTGAGAGGCAGCAAATCGAACGCCAGCAGCTTGAGAGACAAGCCATCGAGAGACAGCAGATCGAAAGACAGCAACTGGAGAGGCAGCAAATGGAGCGCCAGCAGGCTGAACGACAACAGATGGAGAGGCAACAGATGGAGAGGCAGAAGATGGAGGCGCAGCAGCCCAAGGAACACTTACGCCCAACTGAGCGCACACGACTGAAGCAAGAGCCTGAGATGACGCCGCCACACCATCACTATGAACCATTCTCGTATGGGCAGCAGCCAGTCCGGAATGTGCCGCCGCCTCGATCTGAACCCCCAATTGTATCGAGGCAGCCTGCCGAACCACCTCGGTCTACGGCTACCCCAGTTCCACAAAGCTATGGCCAGTCCATGCCGCAACCAGGCGGACGCTTGCTCGGGGATCCTCAACCGCCCGCCTCGACGCCTCCCGGCCCAAGACCCATTGCTGCACAACGTCCTATGCCTACTCATATGGACTCTTATGGCACTCCGTCTCAGCAACTGCAACCCCCGCCGCCTGCGGCATCTCGACCGTCGGCTTCGGAGCGCAAGACATCTAACATCATGTCTCTTCTCAACGACGATCCTCCATCGGCTGCTGCAGCCGCCGCACCAACGCCCCCCCCTCAACCAAAGCGCCTCAACGACGTGGCTCAAGTCAAGCCATCGCCGACGCCTCCTCCACAGAGCATGCCGAGAGGCCCTGCTCCTCCGACCCCGTTGCGCCCAGAGCGGGAGCCTCCCGCCTATCCCTATGGCCGAAACGCTCCGTCAGCGTCTGCAATGCCACCTTTGAAGCCAACCTACACTGCTTCGCCACAACCGCAGCATATGAACGCGCCAAGGTCGGCCATTGCATCTCCGCATGATGCAGCTGAGCGTGATTATTATCGGCAATACCAACCTCAGGCCATGAATTCTCCTCAGGTTGCGCAACCTTACCCGTCGCAGTCACAGCCTCCTAGGGACGCTTATCAGCCCCAAACCGGCTATCCCGCTTATGGCACCCCCGCCGCTCACGCCGGCTCGCCACCTCCTCAATACGCAGTTCACCAGTCGGCCTCTAGGCGAGAGCCGCCACCCCCACAAAGCCGAGAATCGGCATGGCCTCCCGGACCGCAGGGCCATGCCATGGGCCAGCCGCAACCGCCACAGCAACAATCCTCTTGGCCACCGGCGTCTCACGGGCCGCTGCCGAAACAGTCTCAACAAGCGCCGCCTCCACAGAACTGGGCTTCGCCGCACATGTCGGCCCAGAAAGCACCTCCAGCGGGCCCAGCCGTCCCACAACAGTCTTGGGCCTCTGGTCCGCCTCAGCAACAACAGCCACAGCAGCCGCCGTCTCATCACCACTTGTCGATGCGCGACGACAGAGGTGCGCCCATGTATGGCCAGATTCCTCCCCAACATCAACATGCAATGCAAGGCAGATATCCACCCGTTTCGCGAGCGCCAGAGCCGATGCCACCTCAAACGCAGCAGGCCTACCCGCCCCGCTACGCATCCACGCCTGCGCCCAGAGATCCTCGGGACCAAATGCCGCAGCGAAGCTACACGCCTGTGGGATATGACGCACGCGGTCCTCCTCCCGGTCCTTACCCTCCGGACCCACGAGAAATGCAAATGCGCGAGATGAGTCGCGACCCCAGGGATCCGAGGGATCCCCGGGAAATACAACAGCAGGAGATGCTCCAGCGTCAACTTCGTCCGCATGACGGCTATGCTAGGCAGCCCGATCGTTACGGCAGGTAAGGCGCGTAACGGACATTTCCGGTGTTAGAAAACCATGTATCACAATGAAGAGTTTGATTTGAACGGGAGTGTTGATGGGCTTTCTGGTTTGGGTACTGGAAGCAAAGAGGGGTTTTGTAGATGAAGGAAAGAAGAGAGCATTTTGTATTCATAGTCTTTTACAATGCACAGAGCAAGGGAAACTTCGATGGAATTCAGAATATTCGGTCAGTGAGGTCCGTATATGTCAGGAAATGTAACATGTGACTGCCTCCTCTCTACTGCTTCTTTCCTCATTGCTTTGAAGCCCCGACCCTTGCGTACATCTATCTCATGCTCAAACGCCTTGATGTATTTCTCGGTCACAACCTCGCCAGATTGCATGATCTGCGTGCCAAACACGCCGGTGAGACCGGCCTCGCGATCGACCTACTGGGTTTGAGGTCAAATCAGTTAGTTCGCTGTCAAGAAATGGAGAGAGGGGCACACTAAGTATAGGAATAAGTAAAGTGATATATGAATAAACGTGCGGGACTCACCCAGTAGATATTCACCGCCCTGTCCCCCTCTTCCGGTGCGGGTGGGCGTTCCCGTTCCACGAGGGATCCTCCATCTAGCGCAGCAGGGCCCTCCTCGACGCCCCATCCAGCTGCGGCTCGAACATGACCGCTGCGGTCACCGGCCGCAGGAGCCTTCCATCGCCGGCGAGGAGGAAGTGCAGAATCCGGGCGAGCTCGTCCATCCGCCCGTACACACTTTGGCCTCCCAGGGGTGACGCGACACCGGCTTCGAGGTCGAGACCGGCGTGGTAGACCATCCTGCTTGTCGACGGGTCCCGGCAGCTCAGGGGCCAGTCCGCGCCCCTTGAAGGACGTGAGGCCCAGGGGTCCGAAGATGTTGGTCTGCATGTACTTCGCGAGGTCTACGCCCAGGGTAAGTACTCTTCGAAGAAAGACATCTTGCCTAGTGTTATATTTTGGAAGCAACTCGGCAGGAGGGGAGGATTGAATCCAGCATTAGAAGGAAAAAATGAATGCGTGGTAATTGTCCTCAAGCGGTTGTTGTTTGATTGTGATATTCCGTCAAACACCCTGTTTCGATGCCGTTCCGTTTTTGAAAGAAGACCTTTGTCGATATTTGTATACATCTCAACCATACGTAGGAGGAACCGCCCTGAATATTACACTCCCATACATTTCCGTCATCATGGAATGTCCTTTGGTGTCGTTTCTGGCGGGGCTATCTGAGTTTGTGGACTGGTGGCTTTCGGTTCCGTGGAATACCTCGGCTTACAGAGCGAAGCGGCCGAAGCTCGATCCGATCGACACCTCGTGCTTATGTAGTCACCCCGTGGCGAATCTCGACCGGACACATGTTGACTGTGGTTGCTCCGTGGCAATTTCAAGTTCACGATAGACCGCGTGCAACATTACACATCGAAGGTAGGGAGATATGCTCACTACAGAATTCAATGTTCATAATTCGCCTTCGCTAAAACCCGAGATTGACCTGCGAAAAAAGAGACCACGCAGTCAGCCGGCAACCAACTGTATCCTGCATTACGAGTGTAGAATTCGATAAGCAAAAACCGTGACCCGTACTCCACTATGCGAGATCTGGGCATGTAGAGAGAAAGAGGCCCATGGGATGAGGAAAATGTGCAGAGTAAATAGGGGTTGAGATGCCCTCTTTGCGAGCATGACGCACGCGTAGAGCCTTAATCTACGCCGCTGGTGGTGCCGTCGGCGCAGCGGCCTTGTCTGCCTCGCCCACAGCCTCATCGCCGCCGGCCTCCCCTGGCTCTTCTTCTTCTTCCTCTTCCTCTTCTACCTCTTCGTATTCGACTTCTTCTTCTTCTTCTTCTTCTCCCTCCTCGGCGATGATGCCATTCTGCCTCTCCCAGACTTGCTTCCTGATCATGTCGTCCTTGGCCTTCCGGGCTCTCTCTACCTCCTCAAAACCGCCGGACTTCTTCAGTTTGCCCTCCTCCACAAAGCTTGAGAGCTCTCTCTGGAGCTCATTACCCTTTCGGCCCTCAAGCTCCTTTTGTCTCAGCTTTTCTGCCCGCTCGATGGCTTCGAGTCGATTTTCGTGGTTGGGCTGTAGTGCCCTCACCTCCCCGAGGACGCCGTCCTTGGCTGCGTTGGGGTCGGAGCTGTTTCCTAGGTTGTTTAGGCCCTTGGAGAAGCTGCGAGCGGTACCGGCGCTGGCGGTGGTTCCGTTGTCCTTCAGCTGCTCCTTGGTGGCCTGCTCAACTAGTGCAAATGTCTCTGATGCCTTCTCTAAATCGTCCTGCAGATCGATCATGAGGTCCTCCATAAGACGCAGCTCATCACGGCCCTTGCAGACGTCCTCCAACTCCTTCTCCCAGATCTTGGTCCAGATAGGCTTCTCTTCCTTCATGTAATCCTCCACCTTCTTGAGCTCCTTTGAAAGTTTTGTAATGTCCATGGCCACGGTCTCCAGTTGCCTAGGTAGCGGCCGCACGCCACGGTGAACCACATCTTTCCTGAGGTCCTCCACCAGGTCTTGCAGGTCGTCGACCTTGGCGACAAGTCGGTCAGAGTCAGCATTGAGCTGTTCGCGGCCCTTGGTAACGTAGGCATGACCGGTTTCGCCTTCGATGCTAGGGATCGAGGCCTTGACAACTGCAGCCTTGACGTTACTCGCCTTGGAGCGGATAGCAGACATGGAACCTTGAATCTCCGACTGGAAATTGGAGTACGCCTGACGCATGACTGCCAGGTCACGGCGAAGGCTTTGGATTTCGGTAACGTGTCCAGCAGCGAGCTTTCGGCCACCAACAGACCTGGACCCGTCAGCAGGCGCTGAGACAACAGGTGGAGCGGAAGCCAGCCTCGCCATCTCTGCGGCTGCCTCCTGTTGACGCTCAGAGACTCGCTGTATCGCCAAGCCCTGATCATCCATGTTCTGCTTCACATCCTGTACGATCTTCTTGAGTTGCCCAATGCCCTCGTCAATGTGTCGTTTGACTTCGTCAAGCGGCTCGACGTTCAACACCAGGACTGTTCGATCCTTGATGTCCGAAAGGTCCTCAAGCTCGTGTCTGACCCCTGAAACGGGGTCTTGGATGTAAATTTCCGGCAGGTCGGCACCATTGGCATGCGTGTTCCAGGAGAACTTCTCAATGAATGCTAACTGGAGACGGCCAATAGAGAGCTCGCTGTAGCCCTCAGGCAGCACGAACTTCTTGACCTTTGACTTGTACTGCAAAAATAAAGTTAGGTCGGTCGTCAACGGCGGTGATTGCTCGTGAAGAAAGGCGGTGTCTCGCTTCTTTTCGGGCGTCTTAGCATGTGGCGGCTCCTTGGGCTCGTCCTTGCTGGGTGGCTCAGGTTTGCGATCGTCATCAGGAGACATGATGGGGAGCTCATCGCTCAGAGGACCCTTTAACGTAGCGCTAGCTTTGGGATACTTGTCTTCGGGTGTCTGAAGCGTCGGGCTCTCGGGCCTGGCTATCGGCGCTTCGGACGGAAGCGCTTCCTTGGTACGACTTGGAGCCCTGACGGGTGACGCATCTAACTGCGGCTGCTTCGAGGCACGGTTTTGACGGACAGTCTCCCGAGTCTGCACGGCACGCAGAGACTCTCGCACTTCACCTCGGCCACGGTTGGGTATGGGAGAGTTCTGTGACGGCAGCATAGGCACGCCATTCATGGCGCTGCCTAGGTGCTTGGATATTTGATATTGCGAATATCGCCGCGATGCTCTTCTTTCCAGGTCTCCTCCTTTCTGCAGAGCGGCGAACGCACTCGATTGCTGCTTCGGAGGTGGCGGCGGTGGCGGGAATGATTCGGCAATGGCCTCTACCAACGGTGCAGAGGGCGCCGACGCCTCGTCGCCGGGGTACGGCGGCACAACGGGTATGTTCTGCATCGTGTTGCTGGACAGGGAAGACTGCTCCGAGTTGAGGGAGCCGCGCGACTGGTCTCTTGGCGGTATGTAGCGACGGCTCGGAGATGTGATTGTTGGGGCGCCGGCTGACATGGAAGATTCCCTCTGCGGGTCTGGCCGGTATCCGTTCTGTATGCCCTCCTCCAGCAGATTCGTCAAGCCAGTACTCGCGCTACCCATCGTACTCGTGCTCGTCGTCCGCTCGGGTGCGCCTGCTGAGCCCCCGCTCTCCCTGTCCTTTGGTTGCTTTTGCCGCAGCTTTTGCTGCTTGCGCTTCAGTCCGTGGAGCAGGTTGATAATGATATCCCGAATACGGGGAAGGTACTTCTCCAAGCTCTCGGTGCTTGCTTCTTGGCTTAGAGTGGCTTCTAATATGCTTCGTAGCAGCTCGGGGACATTGCCCAGGTCGGAGGTATCCACGTTGATGGCCGTGAAAGCTCGACAGGCCATGTTGAACTCGTATCCCAGTCTGACGTACACATCGGATACCTGGCCATCGGTTGCTTGGCCACGCGACCATTGTGTCAGGGTCTCTAGTAGCTGCTTAGTCGCGACAAGCAGGTGGGTGACGCTCTTCTCGATTTGCGATAAAGGCATGGCTGAGCTAGTAGAGTTCTGTTGGGAAGGATCTGTTAGTTACCGTTATAATAAATGAGGGAGTAAGAGCGACAAGTCTGTTGTGAGGATGATATTTTGCAATAGGCCAGCGTCCGGAGACGAGCTGCTAGTCGCTGGAATGTGCAATCAGACTCACATTTGATCTCCGCATCCCACCATTCGGCGGGGCAGATCGGTTTGAGGCGTTGGAAGCCCTGGGCTGCATCCCCATGGCTGGTGATATTGAGCGAGCTGGCACATTTGGCGGAGGGCCAGGATCAGCACCTGGGGAGCGCCGTTGCATGCGCTGTGAGGAGCCTGGTGCCTGCATCATTGCTCAGATCGAAGGGTTGTCGTCGTTGTAGCGTTTCTCTTGTCCTCCTCTGTCTTCTTCTTCCCCAACCAGATTGTCCACTGCCAGTTCAAGGTACCCAAGACAATATGAACGCAAGGCTGGAAGAAGGGTGTAGGAGTAATGTGATCGATCGATCGGGGAGGTCGGAGTTATTCGAAAGGATGGTTGCCAACCATGCTACAAGAAAGTAAGGTTGCGATTGCGAACTTTGTTGGATTGCCTAGGTAGATGAAGAATGTCAAGCTTTCCTGATGGACGTTAATCCAGTGAGCAGGAAGGTTGCAAGTGGCGCTTGGCAGTAGGGAATCGCCTGGTCAGGATGCTGTGAAGGGATGAAAGCTGTAGAAGTAGCGGCGATAACGCGTTGGAGATTGAGGGAGAGGCACTGAGTGACACTGAGTGAGCCCCTCGATGGAGCAAGTAATGCCTTGCTGACGTCTTGCTGTGGTTATTTCCGTTAACGTTGTGCGTAACCGATTGGGTGCGCGGGTGTCAGAGGGTGTCTAAAAAAAAAAAAGGTTGGACAGCTGTCGGTTGCAGATGCCAGAGCGCAATGCAGTGCAATGCAAAGGCCAAAGCAATTATGAGGTAGATGGGATTTAGGGTAAAGGCATGTGTCTACCTCCTAAGGTATGTATGTACGAGGTTACAGGTCCCAGAGCACGTACACATAAGTATCTGTATATGCAATGTCGAACCGTGTTCGGAAAGCGGAGAGAGTCTTGCTTGCCCTTAGCTTTTGGCGCCCAAAGACCCAGCATCCAGGCCCAAAGCTCCAGGAAAGGCCCGCTGGAGCACACTTTACACCCGCAGGTACAGGCGTTCACTCCTTCACCTCTTCACTTGTGCCTGCTATTACCACTGCTTCTTTGCCCCTTCTTGTGCCTCATTCACCCTCTCAACTCTGACAAACACCCCCCAGTCAAAGACTCAGTCGGGTACGGAGTACAATATGGGAGACACGCTCGTCACCTTGTGGTGCCCTTGTGTCCGTCCCCAGTTCCAGTCCGCTGCTGTTCGTCACCTCATCCTGACAGTGGGCCATAGTACAGCCTTCTGATTGGTGTATACACTTCCTCAATGGCTTGTCATCCTTGTCAGATCCCCGACCCAGGACGCACACGTGCCCCGGTTACCAGCCACCCGACATGCCATTCCGCTCTCTAATCATATCCATCCACCTTTCGCACCTCGAACCATCTCCTACCCCTTGAGCCAAATACATGCACTACCTACACGTAATCTCTAAGATGAAACACTCTGGAATGTTTTCAAACAACGTCAGTCTGTGACGTCTCCTCCAAATGCAACCTCAGCAGCAAGTCCAATCTCTCCTAGCTTCCTCAGTACATGTTCAAAAAGCTTATCTATCTACCTTGCTATCACAATGGATGCTCGAATCTCTATCCAATGTATCCGTATTCGCAACGAAAAGAAGTCCAGTCCAGGCGTTGCTTATTCTAGCTTGATGCGTTGCCCCTCTTGTTCAGACGCCAATGAAGAGTTAGTAGGCCGGTGCATCCTAGCTTCTTTGTTCTTCTGTTGTCAGCACACCAAGTCAACCGACCTTCGCTCGAGGCCCGAACCCTGCGAGTCATTGTTAGGGGAAGACAAGCCTGGCGTTTCAATAATTCAACGCGGCCAGGCACTCCACGGACTTGGGCCTATCATCACATCAGGAGATGCAATTGTCTTGCAGGCTTACTGCTTCGTTCCGTCAATCCTTCTTGATGATGTTCCCCATGATCTACAAACGAACTGTCGAGCTCACAAGTCACCCAAAGTTGGCACGTCAGGTAGCACTTTTGATCAACCATCCCGACGACATGGGTAACTAATACGGGATAAAGCAAAATCATGGGTAGCAGGGACCTTAGCCGACTCTCAATCCATCATGCTTCGTTTGCCCTTTGCACATAAAGCAGCCGCTCCTATCACCCCCTCTGCTCCAAGCCGCCCGCTACTGGCGCATGAAAAATAAAGTACGAGTGCGCCATGCCAGCTGCCAGTGGATGCAACAACCAAGGGGTCTAGAACTTGACCAACCTCGTGATCGAGCCCGAGATGGTTGTTCCCGGTGCGCCCCGACATGGATACGAAGTCGTGCATAAGCTCCTCCGTTAGCCCGCACACCCGAACATGTCCTTCCCAAAGTCTCGGTCTTTTCACGTGCGCTGCAGCGATAATGGCACCCACCAGCCTGATCGCGTCCTTGAACGCGACATTGACACCTTCATAGACAAAGGTCGTAATCGAGTGCGTCGCGTCCCCGTTGATCTTGAAACCGCGCCGAAGCGGCCATTTGAAGCCTACCGGGTCCATGCAGAGCGATCTTGGCGTGCAGTTACCTTCCACTGTGACGATGACTTCTGTCAGTTCCGGACTCCAGCCATGCTACACAATGAACAATGCCTTCTTGACGGTCTCTAGGTCTCCCGAATCGTATCCGCAGACGTCGGGGGAGGCACAATCCTCGCCGCTGCTATTGGTTGATGCGCACACGCTCAGGCTTTCGCCGCCCGTCTGGTGAATAACGGACCGCTTCCCGTCACAGTTGGAAAAGACGCCGCCGCTGTTGGCCAGCTTGTAGGGGATATGAGTCTTCTTGACCGTGATCGGGATGCTCAGGTCGTGTACTCTTATACCGGTCCATAGTAGCTTGACGTGTGGTGACAGCAGTATGCGGACTTTCACTATGCCTTTAGAAAGAGACCCATTGAAAATCTCGCACAGCTTCAACCAACCAATCTCCGGTAGCTCTTGGAACTTACTAGCAGGACCGGTCGCGGACTTGATGGACCAGGGCTTTTCGTACTTGTCGATAATCGCTATGTACTGTCCATCTAAGTGGCTCTGTGGCTCAGTACGAGCGTAGGAGACGCTAAACGGCACGGCCTCTGTAGGAGGTGAGATATTTTCGGGATTACATTTACATGGCAGGCCGTCGATCCTGTTAAAAAAGACTATGGTTTGGTATCGAACCGGAGAAAATGTTGGGCATGGGAGAGAAAATACGAATGGCTTTCCAGAACTGTTAATAGAAGGGTAGTCAATCGTCCAAAACCAATCCTGAGTGGTCCGGGCCGAGCTGCTGCTAGAGAGACCTGGAGCAATAGAGGGTGGAGTCACTATCCCGTGAGTCGATGTTTCTGCCTGAGGCCATCGAAGGCATCCAACTCGGAGCTTGCGCTTCGGAATCTAGAAACCTTCAATTGATCATACCCCCAGAGCTGCCACCCCATACCCACGTTCATCAACAAATCCATACAACCGCCAAAATGGTCTTCGCCTGGAAAGCCGCCGGTCTCACGTGAGTCAATTGACGACCCTCAATCTCTTTTTGCACCCGCTTGTCGGTTGGAGCAGAACGCGGTCGAGGTTTTGGACACAGGAGAGGAAAAAGCTAACCCAACAACCCCCAATTTGCAGCTACAACCGCTACCTCGCCGTCGCCTCGCGCGTCGTGCGCCGCAGCCTGAAGGAGGACAAGAGAATCCTCGCCGAGCGCCGCGGAGAGACGGAGCTCCGTTTTGCCAAGTGGGAGGTGAGAAAACACCGACGCCCTTCCCCCTTCCCGAACTGCGATACCGATGGCCCATGATACGGTTTGGCAGCGAGAACACAAGAGATGGCTGACCTGAAATACCGCAACACAGAACGCCAAGCAGGGCGAGCCCAAGCCTCTGTCCCAGGCTACTCCCGCCGCCCCTGCCACCTCCTCGTAAAGCAGCTCGACTTTTTCCGCCCAAGAATTAGACGTGTGAAGTTGGAGAAGGAGATGCATCCGAAGTTATCGAGGGATAGATGGGAATTGGTGGCGAAAGGACGTGAATGCGCGGATCCTCCTCCGAATACCCGCCAGCTCCTAGGCAGTGAGCTGCTGTAACATATCAGAAAGTGGCATAATCTATCAATTCGAAATGCCGTCCTAGATTTTGGTGTTTCTAAATGTGCTGGTGGGGAGGGACTGGCCTTGAAATGTTGCGATGTCGGCTGAGGCGCCAGAGTGTCGTTGGGCGTGCCATTCCTCCACTCACCAAATTTGCCCGCCGCCGGGCAAACTCGGTTGTGATCAATCCATGTCCCCGTTGCAACTACCACGAAACAACCAAATCCGTAATATCTCCAGAACAGTAGAGACGTGATTGCGGTACTTTATTTCCAATCGCTCGTTGAATTTAATTATCTTTTTTTTTTATCCGCCTGGGTTACGCGAAGCATTCAACCTTACTGAGGTCTTTTTTTATCAAGGGCATATCCATGACTGGACGGATAGCCGCTGTGACCTCACTAAACCTGCACTCAACGCACTCACTCAACAGAGCCTCATGAAGAGTTGCCACTATGGCCATCCCATCCGGCTTCGCAGTGTCCGAAGGTAAGAACTCGCCACGGGAAGATTTCGTGTTCGCACCACTCACTATCCCCTAGATATTTCAAGGCTTTCGCTTGAGCAAGGGCGTGAACCCCCACATCCGCCGCCAACCAAGCCACCGGGCAACGGCATTGTAGCTTTTGATATCACATCAAAATTCACAGCAGCTGCCGAAAGTGAGATGCATACGCAAAGTCCCCAATACCCAACAGAGCAGACGATCTGACTATGCGCAGCGCTCCCCCCCGGCGAGCTGGTCAAGGATGGCTTCTTCACGCTGTTTGAGTCCGTTGGGGCTCTCGAGGTACGTCACGAAAGCCATTTGCAGGCCGCCCTGAACAGCCTGCTGAAATCATGGACAGATCATGGACCCAAAAATGGACAGTGGGTGTTTAGAGGCGGAGGACTCGCTCGATGTCGACTACGATGTGTCACGCCCCCTCCTCCCTGAGGAAGTTCTTGGCATAATTGACCAGTTGCTTTGCCATGAGGTCGGCACCGAAGACTATATTTTCATCTAGCCCCCACTGACATGGCCACAGATGTCATGGCACGTTGGCTACCCTCTCTCCCAGACTCTGTTCACAAGTGTCTACGTTGAGTCAATCCTCATGCCCAAACCGGCCACCCTGGACGATGCACATTTCATTAGGAATGCCAACGGCACGCCGCCATCACCGATGCATACCGTCCTCCGAGCATATTGCTTAGGACTGCTCAAGACATGCGGAAATGTTAACGAGAGAATCAAGAACGAGCATTTCTATGAGGTGGGTTTGCTAACGCTCCCGTGGAATGATTTGGCTAACCGTCTATGCAGGAAGAAGATTTCGTTACGAATACCTACAATAGGGTTTTACTCGATGATTTCAGCATTGATTCCGTACGCGAAATCCTCGAGGAGGCGAGCTTTGTCTTGCGGCAGCTCTCGGACTCGGTGTCGCAAGACATCATTGACGCCCTCCACACCAGGCTGCTCTTCCGATACACGCTCCTGGCAGCGATCGACCACACCCAGTATCGGACGGAACCGGACCGTATTAGGAGCCCCTGGAAAGAGGCTTATGATATGTTACCGAGGATCAAGAGCACTCATGCGCTGGGAAACCCTGTTCCAGAGGCTTGTAGTGCCAAGCTTCAACGCAAACTCGCCAGCACGATGCCTCCGCGCCCCATTGTTGAGATCAGCTTTGACGACGCCTTTGGGCACCTGACGAAGATCATCAGCGATGGCCTTGAGGTTATAGGGGTCCTCGACTATACGGACTCCATCTGCCTTCAGGTACATACATGTCCACACCCTATTCCCTACCCCGACTGCGACTGCGTCGTTACTGACTGCCCGCTAGACATACGTGACGACTTTTCAAGCGAAGAAGCCTCAGCCCCTGATCTTTGTCCGCACTCTCCTCCAAAGCTTCTTGTTCAAGGACATGGAGGTCCTTGGCCACAAGAGCATCCGCCAACTTCTCGACGACGACTTCTCCATCGTCTCCCTGCCCAATAGCCCACTTCTTGACCGCGACAATGACGAGATCGAAGCCATCCAGGACCCGCGCTTCACCATTGCGAACCAGATGGAGGTCTTTCGCCAGCGCGCCGCCCAGCCCTATCTCGATATCCTGCGCACTTTCTGTCAAAACCGGTGTCGCGTGCGCAGGACCCTCTGCCACATCGTGCGCGACTGGGAGAACCTACAGTTCGACGCTGAAGATATCGACCAGATCATCCAGCAGGAGACCAAGGAGCAGCCCCTGGTCTACCAGTCTGCCTCTGGGCCAGTCGAGACCTGGCCTCTGCCGCTGTCGTCGTGGGCGTACCTGTACAAGGTAAAGCAGATGGAGTGGATCGTCCAGCTCGGCTTCGAGCTCGAGGTCTACCAGCCGGACGAGTTGGCGGGCATGTACTGGTACCTGAACTATCTGGCCAAGAACCGCCTCCAGCACGTCGAGCGCATAAAGTCCTTCGTCGTCCAGAGCCTCAACCAGGCTCGCTCGGGCAGACAGCGTCTCACGCCGACCGCGGAATCGCAGTACGCAAAGTCTCTGGCCTTTCTCCGTCTGGCGCTTCTGGATGCTGCAGTCACTGAAGGCCTTTCCGACGCTCTTTGCTGTCTCTACACGGTCCTCCACCGCCTCAGGCTGATCAAACCCCCTCCGCGACCCTATAGTACCGATGAGCTCCGTTATGAACTGCGGATGAGGCCCTTCTCCATCATCGGTCTACCCTCCCTGCCGACCTTCGAGGAGTTTACCATCGGAACCCTGCAGGCAGAGTGCCCAAGCGCCGAACTGTTGGACCTAGCCGACCGCGCCATTGCCGGCGCCAAAAAGGGCTTTGAGGTCATGAGCAAACTTCCCGAAGCGGAGGCTTTCTCGATCGGATCACATGACCGCTGGCTGCCGTCCATCAAGAATGGGCTGAAGTCGTGCATTGCCACGGGCTTGGCCGTCTCGGCTATCCGAAAGGCGCTAGACAAATGGGGCGAAGGCGGCGGGGACCTGAAGCTCAAGGCCGAGGTGCCGACTCCCGACAAGTCGTATCACGAGTGGTGGATCGTCCCGCGAATTATGCCTGTTCGATGACGAACCGAAGCGCAAGAGCAGACCTAGGCATAGCATAGATATGTAGTGGATAACCGTCATCCTAAATGTCCTAAAATACAACCCAATCTTGCCGGGGAATTTCATGTGACACTACGCCTAGCACCCCATGCCTGGTCGTTTGCCAACGGCTTACCCGCCTTGTTTGAAAAAGTTCCCATACAAAAATTCGATAGAGTTTGTGCGTGTCGTACGAACAAAAAAAATAATAACGCGGCATATGCGCTGAGGTGCCATGCTTAAATGCAGTGGTGTCTCTAGCTTGCTTGCCATATAGATGCGTCTTCAAAATCTACCTCTAAATCTAGTCAACTATATCTGACCATGCGGAAGAGGCAGCAAGTTTCTTTGGCGCGTTTATGCGCGCTTCTTGGCGGCGATCGTTCTGAGCTTGATGGTCTGCTCATACAGAACGTCCTTGAAGGCAAAGAGGAAGGCGGCGGTCAGCACACTTTGGGTGACCTTTGGCCCGATACCTGTGTGCCCCTTCGTTAGCGCTGCGACATTAACTGTCTCCAACAGAAGCAAAGACTCACCCTTATACAGGCCGGCGTAGCCCTCCTCCCTGATGACCCGGCTGATGGCTTGGGACATGCCCTCCTTCTTCTCGCCGTTGCCGGCGGCAACGTGCATCTGACTCTTGACCGTGATGTACGGGTAGGTGACTGAGGTCGCGAACAGCTTGCCGAGGGCGCCCAAAAGGAAGGCGATGGTCGGCGTCACCCTCCTCTTCTTCTCGACCGTGTTCTTCATCTGCTCGAACAGGGTGTATTGCAGGATCGGGTTGATAACGAGCACCAGGGCGGGGATGACGCCCGAGAAGAGCGCCTGCGGGCCCTCGTTCTTGAGCAGCGCCAGCAGGGTGCCGATGGTGGAGGGCGCCTTCTTGGGCTTGTCGGTCTGCGCCTCCTCGTCTTTGCCGTCCTTGTTGGCGCTGCTGCTGCGGGTCGTCATACGGGTGTTGATGACCCAAATGGGGTTCGTGAGGATGACGGTCGCGGAGCCGGCGATGGCGCCGGCAATCATGGACTCGACGGTCGTGAGCTTCTTACTGGCACGGCCGGCCTTCTCGGCGGCGGCCTCGAAGAAGGCGCGGGTCCACTCGTACCAGTAGTAGTAGACGAAGTTGGTGACGCTGATGCCGAAAAGGGCAGACTCGAGGCCGGAGTAGAGTCCCGACACGCCCTCACGAGCGACAATCTTCTGGACGGCCGTGAGGAAAGCTGTGTCGGCGCGCTTGGATTCCACTTGGGCGCGGGTCGAGAGGGTGATGAGGGGGTAGCTGTGCGACACACGTAAGGTTAGAGCCTTGGCCGTCAGAAGAGGTTCAATGGCCTTACGTCAAGGCCATGGAGAGGAGACCGCCGCCGGCGCCCGCGAGGGCATGGGCGACATTGTCGTTCTGTGGGAGCGCTGGCTTGGACATGGTGGCTGTTTTACGTGGGGGTACGAGCGAGGTGGTGTGGTTGTCGAAAAAGCTTAGGCAGATAGGATGATGATAGGGTTGTGGGAAATGGGACGATTCATCCAAAATAGTACACTCAAAGTGATGTAGAGGATGTAAATGGTAATTGTCGTTGCGACGTTGGTAATTATAAAAGTTGCGTCTCAAACAGGGCGGCAATTCCTTTGGGTTTTCTGGGGAGCCGAGGTCAACCACGTTTTGAATGCCGAAGGGGGGAAAGGGTTGGCTTGCTCATGCCGCTAAAAACATTTACCCCAGTTATGTCATCGCTGCAACCGTGCG